TTAATTAAAAGCAGAGAAGTTTTCAGTTTTATATGTACCTCCAAACAGTTTTCCTAGCGTTCAGCCTAAGGGCTTTGAATATTCACTGCACTTGAACAGTTTATTTATTATCTCTGAATACAGCTTATTCCTGATATATGCACCTTATATTTCTGCCTTCAACCTGAATATCAATTAGAAAAACATGTGTATTATATGAACCGCACATCATAAATCTTGACTCTGTGTGTGTGTGTGTGTGTGTGTGTGTGTGTGTGTGTGTGTGAGTGTGTGTGAGCACTTAAGGAACAAATCAGTACCATAGTTGGGGCCTAAAGAAGATAAGTGACCAACTTTATTTTAGGATTTTTATATCTGACATAGACATATATGAAAATAGCCATCCAAAATAGAATGGAATTATAATTTGGATTTATAAATACTTTTTAAAAATATATTTTATTGATTTTTTTACAGAGAGGAAGAGAGAGGGATAGAGAAACATCGATGAGAGAGAGACATCGATCAGCCTCCTCCTGCACACCCCCCACTGTGGATGTGCCCGCAACCAAGGCACATGCCCTTGACCGGAATCTAACCCAGGACCCTTCAGTCTACAGGCTGACGCTCTATCCACTGAGTCAAATCGGTTTTGGCAATACTTTAAATTTTAAAAAAAAAACACACCTCAGATACCAAAATGGAATTTCAAAGCAAGCATCTTTAGCATATGAGTTATTCTGAGCTTACAGAAAGAGATCAAGTTTATTAGGGAAATGAGCACAAGGGATCATTAAAATCCATTAATGTTGAATTGTTTTTTTAAGATACTGCTCCAGTTATTCTGATAGCATGACAACACGCTACAGTCTAGCTATTGTTACCTGGTATAATTTAAAGGAAATCTTCTTAAAGCCTTCCTTGGAAGATGACTAGTCTATTTGCCTTTCCTAAACTAAGAGTCACTGGCTAACGGGTTGGTGACTTCCTCCTGATCTCCTTAATGTCAGTACCAAATATTGATCTGTGAGTCATTAGACTTGCATTTAGCTTTGTCTTTCAAACACCAAGGCTTTGTGACCTTCCTGGGGCACAGGACAGGGAAGCAGTCCTTTCCTTCTTCCTCCAGCCCTACCTGTAAGATGACTCTCCAGACGCCAGAGACTCTTCAGAGACGTTTAGTGAAAATAGCAATAAGGCCTGCAGGTAGGTTCTGAGTGAGAACAACTCCGCTCTTCTCCAGTCTTCCCCAGGCCAAATCTCATTTTGAAATACCCGCCTTATCCCAGCCGGCGTGGCTCAGTGGTTGAGCATCCTCTTATGGACCTGAAGGTCAAGGTTTGATTCCTGGTCAGGGCCCATGCTAGGGTTGTGGGTTCGGTCCCCAGTGTGGGCATGCATGAGGCAGCTGATCAATGATTCTCTGTCATCATCAATGTTTTTATCTCTCTCTCCCTCTTCCTGCCTCTCTAAAATCAATAAAAATATATTTTTAAAAATCACATTGGAGTTTTCTAGGGAACAATAGATCCTGACTTTCAAATATTTGCTGAATGTAATTTATTTGAAATTAACATTTCTGCCTCAAAAAGTATTAAACACTCATGGAATATTATATGTAAATCTCCACTATTAATTCAACTGGCTCATACTTGGAGAAAAATAGACTTCAAAAACATAATTTAGAAGGTCAGACCCCAAAACTGTCTTACCCTGTTTATATCATTTGCATTCTTCCAAGTATTTACTTAATAAGTGTTTTGTATGTTGATTCATATTCCATATGCCATCTTTAGTGAAACGTGTTATCATAAGATAATTTGTCATTTGAATAAAGTACAGGACATTATTTAGTTTTAAGGCCATATAGTTACGGACTTAAGAAAATCAGATAGGATTAAAGTGAAGTGAGGTGTATTTAAAAGAAATTTGATAAGTGCACAGACTTACTAGTATTATCAGGTTGGATTTTTTCATGGGAATTGCTAAGTAGGGATAAGGGTGATTCTGACCATATTTAGTGTAACTCTTGCTCTGCTGCAGTGGTGCCAAGTGTGACCAAGCAGTGGATATGCTTGTCTGCATAGCAGTTCTTCCTTCTTCCAGCTCCCCTGTAAGCCTTCTTAGCTTGTATGGTTTGATGGCACTGACCCCGCTCCAGGGTGCAAAGTGACCCGGGCCTGATCCATCAGAGCCCCCCTTCTCTCGCAGACACACAGGTTCAGGCATGCGACCCAGTCAATCAGAGTCTTTCCAAGGACTTTTGATGGAGTTAAAAGGAACAGGCTCACTTTTTATCTGTGATCATGAACTGTGAAGCAATCGAAGATAAAATCAAGATACACAGTAACACTGAAAAGTAAAAACTATCAGTGTCCCTACGAAGTTGGTTGAACTCCTCACAACTGCCTGAAGCAGTTTGTCCCTTAGAATTTCCAGTTTCAAGGTTTGATACACTTGGTATTTTTGCTGGAACAGGTTTGAGTTGGGATTCTGTGACTTGCCACCAAAAAACAAATAGATCACCTCCCCCCTGACACTCACAATCACTAGACAATTCATCTCCAAACAGAAAAACTCCTATTGATTTAGTCTGTAGGGTTGTTTGTAATAAAAAGCCAGAAAGGCCCAGAATGCTCGTTTGAAACACAGAACCCAGGTTAAGTTCAGCACTCAAAGACTCTGCCAGAACATGCTTGACCTTGGGCCATTATATTCACTCTCCTCTGCTTCTGACCTCCCAGACATTGTTTTTCCTAGCAGTTTATAAGCAGTTGGAATCTTGAAAGTATTCCATTTATTTTTTTCTTTTCATTATATAAGTGAGCAGGGGAAAAATGAGTGAAAGAAACAATGTCTATGTACAGAATTAGCCAACCAACACTTTATGATTTTTATCCAATTTTTTTTTTCATGACTAGATGCTTTACTGAGCCTCTCCCTTGTATTTTGGGGACATTTTAATGAGTCATAAATTTTTCTCCATCACCAGTTATCTCCCCCATACCCTCCACCACCTTCCCCACTCCACTCCCCACAATCACCACACTGTTGTCCATGTCCATAAGTTCTTTCTCTTTTTAAAAATTTTTTGCTCAATCACTTTACCCACCCCCAACAGCTGTCTGCCTACTCTCTATCTATGAGTCTGTTTAGTTTTGCTTATTAGTTCAATTTGTTCATTAAATTCCACATAGGAGTGAAATCATATGGTATTTGTCTTTCTCTGACTGGATAATTTCACTTAGCATAATACTCTCCAGGTCCACCCTTGGTGTTGCAAAGGGTGACATTTTCTTTTTTTTACAGTCGTGTAGTATTCCATTGTGTAAATGTATCATAGCTGTTTTATTTGCTCATCTTCTCTCTCTCTCTCTCTCTCTCTCTCTCTCTCTCTCTCTCTCTCTCTCTCTCTCCCCCCTACCCCCCCCCCCGCTCCTTTTCCCAGCAAATTTGGAAAACCTAACCATTCCTTTCCTCATTCCTCACTACCACAACATTGACTGAAAGAAAGGCCCTCCATCTAATAAATGAAGTTCAGAAATCTGACCACACCATTAAAAGGCATATAATCAAGATCCTCATTATCCCTAACTGAGTAGCTGGGACTTAGGAAGCAAATGCTGCTGAGAAGGTGACCAATTCTAGGATACAACTATTGTGGGTTTCCAGAAAGGTTGGTGGAGATCAGATAAAGGTGACAATGTCCTGGAGAGTAATTGTCCTGAGAGCAAGGAAGCACCTTTAGGAGCTGCAATGTAAAAAAGATAGGAGCTTGGCGGGAGGGAAGAGAGTGGGGGAAGAAAGATAGGGGGGTAGTGAGGGCTACCTTGTTGGATGATTTTCCTTGGGCTATGGGGAGAGGTTTCTAGGCCCCAGTCTGTAACTCCTGAACCCGATTTTTCAAGTACAAAAGACAAGAAATCTAAATGTTTGAATTTGAGAAACTTTGATTTATAGAATTCCTGAACCACGTTTTATTTGCTCATCCCCCTCCTGCATGAGAGAGCCAATGAGAATTCAACCGACATTGCATTCCTGACCATCCAACCTGCTGGAGGAGGGGCAGGAAAGTTTATGAAATGCAATTTGCCCCGGAGTACAGGAGCTGGGTGACAGATCCCCATGCTCTTGAGACTTCTTTCAAGGCAGAAGAATCATTTGGAGAAATGGACAGTTGGCTTCACTGCCATCTGAGACCATGATGTTCTGATTTCTTGTTCTGCTCTTGAAGGTCTATGTTCAGCCGAGACCAAAGATCCTTGGCCTTTGGAGAAGGCTTTGTTTTTACTTTTGGGGCTGACTCCAGAGAGGCCCGAGGCAGCATTCCCCAGGTATGTATGGATAGAAAAAACACTATCTATGTCTTTAAGCATCCACCGGAGGTTTTGGAACATATCTGCTGTGGAGAAGATGACAAACAAAGCCATCATTTATGGCCCAAACCTGGGCCTTTGTGTTCTGAGATATCTGGGAACAGCTATCAGAAACCTAGTTACCAAGGAGAAAAAACAGGAATTTTGCCACTAGGGAGTTGATGTCACAATGGCACCAAGGATCACTCTAACTTAAACCTGAATAATAAAGCTCTTGGCCTGAGAGACCAGAGTTCTGAGCTCTGTCTCAGACTTTACGAGTGCTGATTAGTAAAAAACGAGGCCTGGACTTGAAATCTGGAAGCATGGCCTTGGTGTCAGCTCTGCCGCCAATGAATCGGGGTTGGCAAGCCCCGGAACTTCCCGGGGGCGCCATAGCACTCCCCTCACAAGAAAAAGGTTAGATATGGTACGTGAATCTCTCAGATTCTTTATTTACAAAAATGTCTTATCAGAAATCCCAAAGACATGTGAACATGAGAAGTTTCTACTCATCTTTAAATCATGTACTTCTAGAGCAGTGGTCGGCAAACTGCGGCTCGAGAGTCGCATGCAGCTCTTTGGCCCCTTGAGTGTGGCTCTTCCTCAAAATACCACGGCCTGGACAAGTCTATTTTGAAGAAGTGGTGCTAGAAGAAGTTTAAGTTTAAAAAATTTAGCTCTCAAAAGAAATTTCAATCGTTGTACTGTTGATATTTGGCTCTGTTGACTAATGAGTTTGCTGACCACTGTTCTAGAGAATTTCTAAATTTCCAATGTCTCTGCTAACAGGAAATGAGCTGAATTTTCAACGGTGAGTGGGGAGGGGGAGGGAATAAAAAATCTAGATAAAAAAGTAGGGGACAGCTGGACTTCCAATCTCCACCAAAGGAACTCTGATATCACAGTTTTCTATTAAGAAAAATATGGTCACAATACGTTTTAGTGCTCTAACTAGTTTTTGACATGAATAGAATTGACATTTCTAATTTATAATTAAGTATCATTTGGATATACACTTTTGTTATACCTTTTTTTTGTAAATAAACAAAAAAAAATCACAAGCTATGACCAGTTGACTCTCCGTAATGCTTTCAGAATGCACTACTTTAATTCTGCAATGATTGTTCCAAGATCTTCCTTAAGGGCACCACAGAGCTCACGCACCTTTTCTTCTCTTTTATAAAACTGAAAGGTTGGGACATAAATGATCCCACGGTCTTTCACCAGCTCCTCACAGTCATCAACATCCACGTGCAGGAACACTACATCCTCGTGCTTCACAGACAGGGAACAGAAAAGGGGTTTGATGGTCCTGCAAGGCATACACCACACGGCCGAGAAGACCACGGCCACCAGCCTCTCCCCTGCCTCCTTGAGCGCCAAGTCAAAATCCTCTTTGCTCAGGATCATTTTCACCATGTCGACCTTCAAGAGCCCCTCGGTTTCTTCTGCCGCGACGTCACCTTCTGCAGGCTGGATGGTTTCCTCTGAGGACTTGGGGGTGTCACCCTCCTTGAGCTGGATGACTTTCTTCTCTGAGGACTTGGGGGTGTCACCCTCCTTGAGCTGGATGACTTCCTTCTCTGAGGTTTTGGGGGTGTCACCCTCCTTGAGCTGGATGACTTTCTTCTCTGAGGACTTGGGGGTGTCACCCTCCTTGAGCTGGATGACTTCCTTCTCTGAGGATTTGGGGGTGTCACCCTCCTTGAGCTGGACGACTTCCTTCTCTGAGGATTTGGGGGTGTCACCCTCCTTGAGCTGGATGACTTTTTCTGAGGATTTGGGGGTGTCACCCTCCTTGAGCTGGATGACTTTTTCTGAGGACTTGGGGGTGTTGTCCTCCTCTGGCTGGATGGTTTCTTCTGGAGATTTGGAGGTGGCACCCCACTTGGGTGAAATGTTCTTTTCTGATAGCCTGGGAGTATAGTCCTGCTTTGCCTGGAAGGCTTCTTTGGGAGTTTTGGAGGTGACACCCAGCTCGAATGAAATGCTCTTTTCTGATAGCTTGGGGGTGTAGCCCTGCTTTGGCTGGAAGGTTTTTTCGAGAGATTTGGAGGTGTCACCCGGCTTGAATGAATTGGATTTTGCTGATAGCCTGGGAGTGTAGCCCTGCTTTTGCTGAATGGCTTCTTCTGGAGATTTGGAGGTGACACCCAGCTCGAATGAAATGGTCTTTTCTGACAGCCTGGGGGTATAGCTCTGCTTTGGCTGGACCGTTTCTTCGGGAGATTTGGAGGTGACTCCCGGCTTGAATGAAATGTTCTTTTCTGATGGCTTCGGAGGGTTGCCCTGCTTTGCCTGAATGGTTTCTTCTGGAGATTTGGAGGTGTCATCCAATTTGGGTGAAACGTATTTTTCTGAGGACTTGGGGATGCTGTTCTTCTTGGATAGGATGAGTTTTTTTGAGAAAATGAGATTGTCACTCTGCTTGGTTGGGATGGTTTTTGCTGATGAACTAGGGGTGTTATCCTCGTTAGGAAGGGTGCTTTTACCTGGGGATATATGAGTATCATTGTATTTAAGGGGATTAGTTTTAGTTGGAAAATTGAAGAAGTCACTCTGCTTAGATGGGATGGGTTTTTCTGAGGAATTAGCAGGGTTACCCTCTTTGGGAAGAGTGGTTTTCCTAGAGGAATTAAAGATGCTGCCCTCTTTAGGCAGGACCGTTTTGCCTGGGGAACTGGATGTGTTGCCTTGCCTGGGCTGCGTGATTTTCGCTGAGGAATTGGGAGGGTCACCTTCCTTGGACTGCATGGCTTTTGCTGAGGAGCTGGCCTCTCTCCCCTGCTCAGGAAGAAACATGCCCTCGAGTTGCGGAACTTTGGAGTTCTCTGCAGGCATGTGCTGTGCGCTGCTGACATTGTGGGCAAAGGCTTTCTGTGTGAGTGCTGGATCCAAGAACTCCGGGGCCAGGGGAGTCACATGGCCGGGCAGAACCTGTAATAGTGGAATCTCTGAACAAAACAGCAGATAAAATAAAATGGGGGAGAAAAAAAAAAAAAAAAAACACAAAACACCCCCCCCCAAAAAAAAATTTTTTTTGATCATATACTCCAAAGAAGACCTGTGTCATCTTTAGAGCTCACCAACATAGTCTTAGAATGATGTATTCTTTGGAATAATCACATTCAACAAAAGGCCAAGTATCATGTGATTACATGTATCCTTTATATAGGTTTTTTTTGTTTTGTTTTTTGTTTTTAGATTACAATTTTCTCAGCTTAGTCTTACACTACTGCATACTCCCCAAGCAAACGGGTCCCTGAAGGTGATACCCTCCCTCCCTCTTACCATTAGGATCGCCTTCATGTGTTTCTGGTTGTTTGTCAGGCCTCATGTTCAGTTTTTCTGGGGATCCAGCTTCACCACTTCCCATTCTTATTTCATAAATGTCTCATAGTTAACACAAGGCTGTGCCCTCCAACGTTTCCAACCTATTCAATATCTTAGAACGAGCAGCAACTTATATTTGTGTAGTTACAGATGGTTTTCCATCTCTGTACTGAAGAGTTTCATGGCAGCCTCTATGGTGGTCATACTGTGCATGAGGCTGCGCCTGGGGCCTGGTACACACTCATAAGCATTATTTTCTATAGCACAACAAACCGCTGAGGTAAGTACCATTATGATCCCTCACTTTGCAAATGAGAAAACTGAGCCTGAGAGAAGTTGCATAACTCACTCAAGGTCACAGAACTAGTATGTGGGGCAGGTTCCGGGGCCTCCCTCTCAATACTACACTGTGTTGTACTGTTTGCCAAATGACCTGTCCAAGATAGGTAATTTGAAACCAACTTTCCTGCAATCTCCCTCTAGGGTTCTCCAGCTCCAGTTTTCTCTTTATGACTCACCCACTGTAACCATCTCCTCCTAACCGTGTTACCCTCCTCTGCCAAGCCCTGCCTGCCTGTCAGAAGCCCTGCTGGAGCCATTTGGATGGGAATAGATTGTGACACAGATGGCATTCCCTCATTTAGAGGAAGAAATGAAAACCTCAGCCCTTCCATCCCGGTAGGTGGGGAACCCAGAGAACAGATACGTGAGTCCTGTCCTCCTCTCTTCAGGTGGAAACCTAAGCACGGATGCAGGTTAGATGTGTTTGGAGGATAGCTGAAAGCAGAACAGCATTTGCCTCATTTTCCAGCTGGAAGGCCATGAATGGCTCACATCCACATGGACTCCACATCCACACGGTAGGCCATTGGCAGAGGGTATGACCCGGCGTGCACATGTCAGGGATCTGGAAGTCCTGAACGCTCCACAGTGGGGCTGTGAGGGTCCTGAGAAAGCCAAAGAATCAGCAGAGGCTTCAAAGAGGAACAAAGAAGCCATAGTGTAGGGGGTTTTGCAACCAGAAGCAAGGACTAGAGGCACAAGCTCTACCAGTAGGAAACCACACAGTGCCCCAACCCCTAGATATAATCAGGGGTTCTCTGTGGTCCTAGGGACCAGACCAGCAGAAGCAGAGGGGCTGGCAATAACCAGTCCATACAGGAGGAATTAGAAAGACCAAATTGCTACCAAAACGAAAAGGTATTCTTTGGGTTGAAATACCACAAATAGATTTAATTTCATGTCCCTGTTCCTCACCAATCTTCTTCATATTCCATTAAGATAAGGCTTCTGGGAAAGAGAAGATACACTCAAGAAAAAATTTAAAGTCACATTGTATCTGTACATCTTAGCAATGAGTGAGGAAGTGATCCCGTTATATTTATACTTAGAGATTTGAGTTGTGTTTTCAGTTCAGCAGAGCTGTTCCAATTATTCCTGCTCTTCATTCTGCAATTCAAATGGATTCTAAGCAACCTGAAGTATTGATTATTCAGAGGCATCAATATTTCTTTCTTTTTTTCTTTTAGCACAAGCTTGCCTCCAAATTGCTCATGAGCAATATGGTTATACTAGTGACCCAGTGCACAAAATTTGTGCACATTAAAAGGGGATTAATTAGAGGAAATAATTTAATGTTGCTATTTGCCTTTCTCTATAATAGAAGTGTCAAGAGATGAAAGAAAATTAGTAAAATGTATATGAAAACCTTCCTCCTGTCAGAGTTGGGCTCACCACAGGACCCAGAGTCAAATTCCTGCCCACCCACATAAACCTCAAAATTGTGGGAGACCCAGACCCAGTCACCCCCGACCCCCTCACTGGGTTAGATCCAGACCTGGCTGGCCAGTCCCACCCTTGTCAAGCCCTGCTGGGACCTGTAGCCTCAGGTCCCCTGGCTGGGTGCCAGGAGGAGTGTCATCCTGTGCACCAAAGGGTTGCTGATTCAGTTCATGTTCAGAGCATATACCTGGGCTGCAGGTTTGATCCCCAAGTGGGACACAGGCAGAGGCAGCTGATCAATGTTTTTGTTTTGTTTTGTTTTGTTTTAAATATATTTTATTGATTTTTCTTACAGAGAGGAAGAGAGATAGAGAGCTAGAAACGTCGATGAGAGAGAAACATCAACCAGCTGCCTCTTGCACACCCCCTACCAGGGATGTACCTGCAACCAATGTACATGCCCTTGACCGGAATCGAACCCGGGACCTTTCAGTCCGCACACCGACGCTCTACCGCTGAACCAAACCGGTTTCGGCTGATCAATGTTTTTTTCTCTCTCTCTCTTTCTCTCTCAGCATGTCTTTGATGATGATTAAAAAAAAAAAAAAAAAAAAAAAAAAAAAAAAAAGCTGTATCTATATGATGAAATATTACTCAGACATAAAAGAGACTGCAATATTGCCCACTTGAGACCTAGAGAATATTATGTTAAGTGAAATAAGTCAGACACGTAAACAAATACTCTATGATTTCACTTATATGTGGAACCTAAAAACAAAACAAAATAAAACAAAACAGAAACCAACTCATAGATACAAAGAACAAATTGATGGTTACCCGAGGGGAGAGGGTTGGGCATAAAATGGGAAGGGAATTAAAACTAAAAGAGAATAGACTTTGCCCTAGCTGGTTTGGCTCAGTGGATAGAGCTTAGGTTTGATTCCAGTAAAGGGCACTTGCTCAGGTTGCGGGCTCGATCCCCAGTAGGGGGTGCAGGAAGCCTCTCATCATTGATATTTCTATCTCTCTCTTCCTTCCTATCTGAAATCAATAAAATATTTTAAAAAATAATATAGTAGACATTAATATTGAAAAAACATAATTTTTTTAAATGAATGTTTTTCTTTTCTACTTCCAGTTGCATGCAGAGGATCTGTTGTGATTAATCAGTACTGAATCTAAGGTACAAACTTGTGCCTTTTTATCTGGCTCTCTCATTATTCTGAGAATTCCTTATTAGTTCTGGACACAGTGGTACCTGTGTTTTGCTCAAAGGAGAGTCGGTTATTGATTTTACTCAATTCCTTTGTTCTAATATTTAACCCCCAACATTATTGTGATTGGAAAGACTTTCAGTATAATATTTAAAGCTCTCGTGTAAATATTTACTGGAAAATTCAGTTTGGAGCTGCTTTGGTAAGGTCCAGATTAGTTGTAAATTTGTTGATGTTTTAATGCTAATATGCTGCTACAAAGCTGAAAGTGCACATGGCCCCTCCTAGTGCAGGGACAGTGCTCTCTGCACACGGTTCCTGGAATATCCCTCAGCTCACCTCCTAAGGAAGGCAGACAAGAGAGTTAACGAACCACGGAGTCTGCCTGCCTCTGGAACAAGTGGCACCCATAGCAGAGGTAGAGCAGAGCTTCAGGTCTCATTGAACGCCCCTCGGTGCATTAACTGTCGCTTTGATGTTCAGAATCATGACACTGAACTTCCCGGGAAGGGCCCAAGATCGTTTTCACCATAAGTGAGTGTGACTTCAAAGGGCACTTAATGAATGGATGGTAAAGGCATGAATGAATTACAGCAGGTACAGTGGGAAACCGTTAAAGATTTAAATTAAAACACTTTAAAATATATTTTTGATAAAATTAACTATTTTAGCATCTGAGAGATCACCATTTGCACCTTGACCCCTAAATAAGAGGAAGGTTTTTTTTAAAAAAAATTATTGCCATAAAACTTACACAAACTATCCATACCAAGTACAAAATCAGAATATTGAAAAACAAATGTTTAAACAAAACAAACAAACAAAACAAAAAAAAGAGTGAAATGTTACATAACCACCTGGTCCCCTCCTGTCAGCACCACACATTTAGTGGAACAAGGTCACCAGGCATACACTTTCCCTCCCCAGTCCAAGTACAAGTTTCTTGAGGGCAAAGGGGCATTGCGTTGGCGTCTCAGTCTTTAGCTTGGCAAAGACTGAGACAAAAAAACAAAAACAAAAAAACTATTGCCACAAAACTTTCCCCAATTATCCATACCAAGTACAAAATCAGAATATTGAAAAACAAATGTTTAAACAAAACAAAAAAGATCAAGCCCACAACCTGAGCAAATACCCTGACTGGGAATCAAACTGGCGACCTCTTGGTGTATGGGACGGCATTTAATCTCTTGAGTCACTCGGGATGGGCAGTTAACTTCCTGGTCCTCTGATACAATACTGAGAGTAGAGAATAGAAATGACAATTTATTCTAGATTCACTGTGTTTAGTGAAAAAGAAAAATACTATCTTTAAAAAACATTATTTGACTTTAACTTACTGACTAACCTGCTATCCCAAACTCTACAGTGATTAGAAGAAGGGCTGTTATTTCCCCCCGAGGACCAGGGAAAATTCCAAGGAGTGTTTTCCAACCCCCAGAAGCTGTGTGCACTGCCAGGCAGAGAAGAGCAGATGGAGGTGCCCTGCCTAGTGAGGAGAGAGCAACCACAGGTGAAGGTGTAAGGAGCCATGGCCACAGCCACTGGCAGGCAGAGACAGGGGCTGGACTCAGAGGAGAGGGATATTTTCCACAGGCTACAGCAGTGGGATTGTATTTAATTTGCAATAAGTTGTCACAGAAAAAGGCATGCTGTGATCTCTGTGTTAGCAGATTCACTGATAGCATATCCAATGATCGATCTGAGGGCCAAACACAGAATTCAAAGCTAGCTGTT